ATCATTACAGAAGCCATCCAAAGGTAAGAAATATATCCACCCACCTCATCATCACTATCAAGGAGGCACCTTTTCAGCAGCACCTGAATTGAAGGGCGTAGCTCAGCACACTGAGCGCCGAATTTAGCGAGGGCAGTTACGCCGCTGCACGAACCTGAATAGTTCCTGCTATGAAGAAGACCCCATGACATTAGCCGGTTTGGAAGAATTCACCCTCTTAAGATGACGGTTTTGGACCTCACTCCAAATTCACGTCAACACATTTATGGTTCCGGCCACAGCAGAGCGTACCTTAGTACTTTCCAAAATAACACGATTATAAATAAATCTGATGTAGCTCGAGGGATTCGGCGTTTTCGGTGCTTCTCTGCCCAGCAGGTGCAGTACACGTGTAGCTAGGCTGTCGTGTTCACAGTCTTCTATGAACTCGCACAGATGAGCGAGACCTGAACAGCAGCATAAATAGAGCAAAGTTCAGCGCAAGACAAGCATACCCAAGGAATCCAATAGGAAATGTCTCATGAGGGTGAAAATCGGTCGAGGATTCTCAACGGCTCGTCGAGGATTTTCGCCTGTTCAGTCACGCTCTCCCGCGCGACATTCACACTCGCCACGCGCGAGCCGTCTGTGCTCTCCGCGCTATTCACTCTTGCACTATCTCACACAATACAGGCCAAGGTCATGGTCGAGTTCCATGACCGTTATTGATCCTGCTCATGAGCATTGCCCCTTGAACCTCGGCAAGGAATGCTACTGTGAACACATGCAAACCAACCAGCTGTCTTTGCATCAGGATTCTCCTCGACAATGGCTATGATTGTTTCCACGATTGCCTTCTTGTACTCATAACCACCGTCGTTTCTTAAAACCGTTATGATGTAAGCTAATCACACTACCTTTAAACATGCCAAACCATACCTTAGCATATTAGCCAAAAAAGGCATCATCACCGCATGCTTTCGAGGGTAACGGCTACACAATGAGCGAATCGCATCCACAACTACGATCTAAATTCAGTCGGAATAAGGAAACGTTCATAAGAAAATCTGGTTTTCAAAAACGACTCACTCAAAAAAAAAACAAAGATATTCACACACCTTGAATTCATCACTGATTTCCGACACGAATGAGCTGATTTGTTTCATCAAACGTTCAACACTGCTTTCTGCACCTGTTTTGAGAAGAGTGGTAATTGCAAGTGTGGCAATCGATCTGGAACATACATGTGAGAAGGGTACCAAGTCGCTGTAAAAATCATTATAGATGTTATATGTAGCTGGGTACCAATTATTCCACAAATCGCGAACAAGTGTTCATAAATTAACTACATTTTAGGACGCATCCATTCTATATAGGTGCGGACGCTTTTACCAACCAGCAAACCTTCGTTTTATGAATTGATCCCGTATAGACGCAACCAAGTATGGCTACATGCAATCACATTTGATCAAGATGGACCTTGTCAGTTATCTCTACAGGTGAAAAAAAGCAATAAGAACAGATGTTCTCGTCTTGATCGCACCAAATCTGGGAAGTAATGGAAAAAGGTACAGGGACGGAAAGAGAGACCCAATTATATGACAGCCTCATAAAATGTTACATCTCTTCATTTCCTCTGCGTAAACTCCAATTGTGCCTCTTCCCCTTTTCAGAATTTTAATCACGTAACGCTTTTCCTGAGGAAAGGTAAACGTTTCTACAGCGTTGCTGAGGGTGACCGTAGCTTACCATGCTGCGATCACAATCTGAGCCTTCGAGAGGTGGCTCGTAGCTCCAACTGTACTATATATTCTCGGAACACCATTTAGCCAATGAAGAAGGAGACCATCGAAGTAATTGGTAATCCAATTATCCTCACCTGTTCGAGTCAGTGATCAGCTTTTCGAGATCAACGTTACAACTCATCACGGCATTTGGATGTTTCATTGAGACCTGTAACGGACACTTTCGACAACAGCCTTCACATCAGTAGTATCGTGGAGACCATAAATTTTGGGAATTCCAAAACTACAACACGATGCTAAGTAAACGAACTACCTTGTTAAGTGTACGAACAGCAGCAAAACGCAACGCTGCTTTGGGAGAAGAGCAGAACAGCTGCAGGACAGAGATGGCAGGAGCGAGCTCAGCTCTGAAAATAGAACGGAGACGTTTGCAGCGTCCCAAAAAGCTCACATAATGCGCTCCGCTCATTTGAAAAACGACGACTTCGGAATATCTTGTAGACTGACACCGAAACAGAAGCAAAATAACTTGCAAGAACTTACGGAGTTGTGTTAGGGAGAGCAACAATTGCACTCGCCGCTTCGTACACCACCATTTCGCTCTTGTGACGTAAGCAAGCTTCGATGAAGGAGAAAATTGAAGAGTCCGCCCTGCAAGATTGAAGAGTACAAATAGCGAAGCGTCACCTCCAGCACCCCGATGGCGTAAAACTTATGCATTCTTTGATGAGAAAATCATTTGCTGAGCAAGAGTTGACGGCGCAGTGATATAACTTAGGCGCCCAAGAGACTATTTAAAGGGAAGTCGGGTTTCATCCAGTAAGGGGGCATCATGATGCAAATCTCCGAGGAGGTTACGGTAGTTCTATTGCTCAATGAATCCTCAATGAAACACATACTTTCTCCTTTCTACTTCTGCTTCACTTTTACTATGACTAAGCGGCGCAATAAGGCTTGGAGGGGGGGGGAGTCACTGCTGCAGTGCGCGGTACTTTAAAACGGAGAGGAATATCCGTTAGCCAAGGGAGTGTAGCCAGTCTAGGGGGTGGGGAGGGCAGTCACTTAACATGCGTGAAAAGCTTAAATGTTTGAGTTTACACTAGTTTGCTGAGAGAGTGGGAACAGATCATCCCCCGGGCCACATTGCGCCGAGTGCTTCTTCGCAACCACTCATCAGAAAAACCCGTGTACGTACAGAAAACACAAAACCCAAATAAGAAATCGCTGCGCACTACTTCATCTCGAAACGTTTTCAATGTTCAATACTGTGAAGGGAGCAAGAAAAAATAAGTGAAGAAATGTAAAACACCAAATATGCGTCACTCCAATCTTTTCAATTTGGTACAACTAAATGTAAAACATACTGCTCATCCTCCTCAATAAGTCTTGCAGCGATACGAATAAGGTAACAGACTGCATGTGGTGATCTGGAAAAATTATTAAGTTACGATAAAGTCATTTGCAGCATACTAACTTTTGAAAACTTGCGACAGCATTAAAACATATTACCTCAGTCCTGTCTTGCTGAACTTCTGCACCAATTTATTAACGGCTAGCCTATCGTTACTTCGGATATGATACAGTAAACCAAGAGCGTGGTACTGCACCATTTGGTTGTCCGAGGAGACCGCTTCCTGCACTTCGTTTGCCCAGCGACGCACAACCTAAACTTTGCATCTATCATCAACACAGCCTTGACGTAAACAGCAAAAACGGTTCTTCACCTCAGCACTCTTCTTCATCAAATGCTTCGATGAAACAAGCGCTGCCGAAGCTACAGCACCATTTTTGTCGACAATGGCCTGAATAAGTTAGAATAAATCTTTGAAATGTCTAGTGCAAAAGCGACGAATAGCAAGCCTTCACAAAACAACTACCCCATGAGTTGAAAGAACTTCTCTTAATATATGATCGTTCTTTTCAAGTCCGGAACGAGAGTTTTGGAAAAGCGACTGTGCAGCAAGATTTTGCGCCTATCGCTGCACCATGTTCAGTTTCCAGCACAGCTTACCTGTTTCATGTACCGCTCAATCGTCTGTAGCATTCCAGTGTCCGTGATTCTGCACAATGCTCGAATAGCTGCTGCACGGTATACATCCTCACGCCCCGTCATGTCCTAATATACACAAAGGATATACTTCAGAAAATAAAAGCCTATGCAGATAAAATTCTGCATAGGTTTCTTCTTATAATCGTGGCGAATCAGCTACAAAAACAAAAATGCTGAACAAATCCATGAACTGACTTTAGTAAGACTACTGGTAACAATAATGACGTCATCAGCTATGCCGGAAAGGTCTTTCACAGCCAGGTAGACAAGACGACGCAGATTAGCATCTTTGCTCTGCCACAGCTTCGTAACGGCGAAGAAGGCTTCTGTTGCTTCAGTACGCCCAATGGTTTCACCTTAACATTTTGCTACTGGAACAGTCAAGAAAAATCGCACAGAAGCAATTGAAAACTGAAGCTAACCTTGCTGAATCAGGTACAAGAGCTTCGTGAGAATAATACTGCATTTTCTCGCGTTTATCGGTGTTTCGTTGAAAGCGCGAGCCTATAATGGGATATTAAATTAGCATGCAAACATAACAAAATATAGAAAAAAAATAGAAATGAGGTCACAGGGCGTTCTTTTGCTGGTAGTTAATTTCAAGGATTATACTTCAAGACGTGAAACTTGCTAAGGGTCGAATCATACTTTGCAGTTCGGTGCAATACGAGCGTGGAACCTATATTTATTCATCGTAGAAAACGCGCGTTCCATACATATTTGTTCCACGCTCGGACTGCAAACCGAACTGCCAAGTATGATTCGACTCTAAACGCTGCACGTGTCCCTCCTAACATGCAATAAACCAAAGTGTAAGACGAGAACTATGCTATGACTGCATAGAGCTGCTATCCTATATGTCTCATTGAGAGAGCAGATGAAAAAGGAACACTAATAAATGTTGAATGCTCTAGAATTATGGTCCCAGTTCAAGAAAGAACAGAGCGCCAAAACTAAATTCATCATTGGAGAAGGAACTCGGCCCATCCAAGCAGAACATTCACAACGTAAAGCGATCAACTTGCTCACCTCTTGAAGAACCGATGTTTTATCGAGATGAGCGAATGGATTGCCGCTGGACTCTTCGTCTTTCTTGTCCCTCTTCATTCCTCGAGTTGGCAGTAGCGATGAAGCAGCTTCAAGCACTAATCAAAGCAATATTTAAGAAAACGGAATCTCACATCACAATACACAACCACACCACGAACCCGTAAAGTAAGCACAGATGGACACATGGGAGATACACATCGAGATTCATCAGAGATTGAAATTCCTGAAGAGTTTGCAAAAAGCACCCCATCTGATGGGAGAGAGCGGTGCGCATTATAAAGCTGGGCATTTTCGATGTCCAAAAATCAAAATAGTTATTCACGCGATCAACGTGTTTCATAGCTTAGTAGAGATGTGACAAACACTACGTAAGCTAAGAACAGGTCGGTCAATTTTAGAGCAAGTCGCTAATTTTCCGTCCTTTACAAAGCCCTCTTCCTGTTCATGCAACTTTCCATGATACCAATTCAATTCGCCTCAACGCATCACCAACGCAGGCGAATATGTCCGAGTTTCTCCAAAAATGGCTGCTGTGGATTCCGCCTCGATCAGTTAAGCTCCTCCGGCCCGTCGACAATTCAGGCCTCGCCCTGCTGCTCTTTCGATAGGTCACCTCTCAGCATACTTCCCACTGTGCCAAGCAGCCATGGCGAGGAATTCTTCGACCGTTACCCAACCTCCCGGGGCAATGAACATCCACTTGTTCGCCTACTAAATAACATTACCATTAGCTGCTGTCGCGTCTAGCACCGCAGATGAAATCAGTTGTGAAACATGATGACTGTAGTCTTAGATAATGAATAATAACAATGCCAAAGCAGAATGTTCCCGCACAAAACAAGTAGGCTATTTATTTGCACAAACATGAAGCGTATCGCCTATTTTTGGTTGCTTAAATGAAGCCTTTAAAGAAAAAAAACTAGCCCGAACAAAATGATGCACGCATGACAAACTAAACTGAAAGAATAGTCGGAGAAATTGCGAGCGGAACGGGCGAAACAATGTAAACGCAAAGTGCAAAACCTCTGGCCGATTCATAAAAGGTAAAGTGTTGAAGAAAGAGTGGAACATTCCCAAAGACCTCAACAAGTTCCATTGTGCCTTCAACCGAAACAGAGAAGAAAAGTAAGCGTACGACGAAAGACACATGAGCAACACAATCGGAAGCCATATATTCCACCCAAAACCCTGAATTTGATAGCGTATCGTGCAGGAACCACAACACCGAAACAAACCTCCTCGCGTTTTATCTGCTGGCATCCTGCTAAGAGTAAATAAACCAGTACTGTCATGGCTGTAGCAATGAACCCAGTCGAAAAGTCTCCGTATCATATACGAGTAGAGACATACTAGAAACTATTATGCCCAATCGAATTTTCTGGAAAATCTTCAAATTAAATACTATTATTAGAGAATAGTCCAAGGATCCAAAAAAAAGACGCCGTAGAGTCAAAATATGTTGCTTTTCTGCTTCATATCCGCTTGCATGTGAAAACATGGCGACCTTCTAAAGCTTCTTACCAAGCAAGAATTCATATTGAACCACGTTCTCAAAATAACGTCCCTAATCGCTTTCCTTTGGGCGGAAGTGGTGCAGTGACAAGTGGCGCGCTCACCACGCGAGCGGTCCGGGATCAATTCCTGGGTCGTGAGTCGCCCGGGCCAACCAAGCCTTTCCATCCCTCCGGGGTCGGTTAATTGGTACCAGACTTGTCTGGGAGGATAAAAAACACTGACTTGAACATCGGCTGGCCCCCGCAAGTCATTGTATAGGCCACATCGCATTCAAATGCCACTACGAATGTACAAATGGAAGTAGAATGCGTGCCGCATCCCAAAAAGGGATTGATCAACGGCAAATGCTTTATCCTTTATCCTTTATCGCTTGTTTTCCGTTCTTTTTTATTGAACGACCAACATTCAATGAAATGAATGATCTCTTCAGAAATATTTCCCTTTGTCCTTACTAGCCCTGAGACCAAGCTGCGACCCAATTCCCAAACCACCCTTAATTCAATGAACCCACCAGATAAAGCCGACGATTCTACTTACCAAAGAGCTTGAAATTGTCATTTTTTGGTCCGACACATTGCGAATCCAAAAGTTCCGAGCAAAATTGTGCCGTTTCGCACCATACCTTGACAAGTATCAACGCAAATGCACCTTTTGCACCAACTAAGTAAAACACTTATAAGGCACCCACAGGGAATCGAAAAGTCTCGAAAAACTTGGACCCCATTCAACAGCCTACTCGACCATTGCAAACTGTCGAACCGTCCCAACCCAGCCAGTGCTCTGTAGCCGCTTCAAAGGAAAAAACGTGTCAGGACGCTAACCTTTTCTCGTGAAGAAATGTACTATGGCGCAACCATATATGCATCCACACGACTAACAGAGGGAGGTGGACCCACGGTTCGGGGTCATCCAAAAGATTAGTTCGAGCCTTTCCTCTCCCTCTCAACACTGAAGTCCTGTAAGGTGCCATGGAGAGACCACGAAGACCACACGGTAAGCGAATAGCAAGAAAACTTCAACGCAAGACACAGAAATGGAAGATGTATTTGCAGACGCTAATCTTTAAGTTGAGTCAAGAGAACAAGTCCCGCAGTTCTTGGAGAAGAGCAAGCCCATTGGACGCCCATAGGAACTCGTCGAAAGAATGGAGGAACTTTGCGGATCTGGAACCGCTGTAACTCCACTGACGGTAGTGTGGACCGGGCAGTAAAGGGACGGATTAACGCGGCATGGACGAAATGGAGGGAGTCCACTGGAATCCTCCGCGATTGAAGGTGCCTCTAGCAAGCGGTCAAATAGGGAAGTATCACGGGGCCGTTGACGTCTCTATGGCTATTCGGCAGCACTAAGTGTTTGCAAAGTGGCAAGACGCTTAACTGACACTTATAAGTCATTTGCTGCGACACATACTGGCGCCATATTAATGATCCACCAACCAAATACAATCTGGAAGTCGAATTGGCCGAATTCGGCGCTCATTCGTTAGGGGGGACATTGAAATGAGTGGGCCACCGAATAGAACTTTGGACTAAGCTTTAGGGAGGGGATAGGATTTTGGGAGCAACCATCGTTCTCTCTTGTATTTATTCCCAGTCCTGGGCTTAGTCCTAGTGTCACCTACCAGCGGTTTTGAATGCTCTGCTCTGAATGTCCCCCCTAAGGACATGAGCGCCACCAATTTCAACGGAGTACATTTAGAGCAAAACGCAGAGAACGCCTACAAAACAAGTAAGTAAACAGACTTATGCGACACCAAGAAGGAAACCCAATGTCCCATTCTCATTACTATTTAAAGAATCAGTGATGTAAACGTGAGTCTAAAAATGACAATGGCTGTTATCGATGCGAGGGGAGTGTGAAACAAGAAGAAAGAAAATGGAGGCTTACACCTTGAACTCATTGATGAAGAGCGATGACCGTGTGCCGATCAACTTCAAACTCTAGCGATGGTTCACAACTTTTCTGAACGTCTAAAACTGTTCATCGATCCAACGACACGTGTTGCGATACGAGATTGCACGCAACGGAAAGACGCTTACGGTTTAGTGCAATTGAAATGTAGTGGCTCGAAATCGCTGTGGACTGAAGCCATTGCTTCATGGTCAAAATGGAAATCCGTGAAATCCTGCCGAACTTTTGCGAAACTATAAATCAAATACCTTCCATCTAGCAGAAGGTTGAAGAAATATGGAGTGTGACATTATACCAAGGCTGAAACGCCGTAAGGCCCTGTTCAGAGATGTCCGCCGGCGCGAAAAAACGCACAGGCGAAAATCTCCGCCAAGATTTAGATACGCATCGACTGAGAAATTGTGAAACGCGTAAGCGAAACGTCCGGAGCAGGCGAATTTCAGTCAAGAGTTTGATATGTATCGACTGTGAGAAACGCACAGGCGGAAAATCGCGTGAGCGAAGCGTTCGTAAGTCGATGCGTATGATACTCATTTTCGTCGATCCTCCCACTTCACGATTCGCCTGTGCGTCTTCGTTCAGTCGATACATATTTCACATTGTTTCGCCTATGCGTTTTTTCGCGCAAGCGGACATCTCTGAACAGGGCCTTAGCTTCTGTTCAAGATGTCCGCCGGCGCGCAAACAACGCACAGGCGGAAATCTTCCGCAAGATCTTAGTTATACCATCTAGTGGGCAAATTGTAACGGCGCGGGCGTAGCAAAACGTTCCGAGCAGAGCCACGAATTGTCTAAGTCAAGAGTTTATATAGCGATCTGAGATAGAACGCACAGGCGGAAAATCGCGTGAGCGAAGCGTTCGTAAGTCGATGCGTATGATACTCATTTTCGTCGATCCTCCCACTTCACGATTCGCCTGTGCGTCTTCGTTCAGTCGATACATATTTCACATTGTTTCGCCTATGCGTTTTTTCGCGCAAGCGGACATCTCTGAACAGGGCCTTAAGTGCTGTGCTTTTATTTAACGCCTATTTTAGGTGCGGCGTGCAAACGCGGCCCAAACTTTATGGTACGCAGCGATACTTTTCATGTTCGTTCCCACTCAAATTCTAGTAGCTATTTCATTTGGGCACAGTGTGGTGAGGGGCGACGGGGAGGCGTTCGCATCGACAGAATACGGAAATGTTCAGTTAGGGACTAAGCCCTGAAAGAGAAGGGGGCTTCGGGTGCGTAAGCAATTTTTATTTCTCTGGAGTTCGTCTTTCTCCGAGGGCTTAGCCCTAGGGGCCTTCCAACAGTCTGCCCTCACGGGGCCATTGCGCTGATGAGGTGCACTGGCCTGGGGGGGCATACAAAAAGGGCCTATGTTAAGTAACACTAGACTATGCCTATGAGAGTGGGGAAACACCAGGGAGAACACTATGGCTCTTATCCTTCCCCAGAATTCCCCATGCCTCCTAAGGCTTAGTCCCAAATTCTGTGAGTTTCTTACTGACTTCAGTGTCCTTCCCCCACCCCAACAACGTTAGGGCTTGCCATCATTTCTTCAATCTATATGCGGATAGGGACTGGAATTCCAGTAAAAGTTAAAATTGCTCGTGCACTCTGCGTCAAGCATTCCCTACATGGCCGTATCCTATCCCCCTCTTAGCTAGGGGAACAAAAGAGTCCTTTAAGTCTATTTGTTTTCAGCGACAAGTTCCCTTACTTTCCGCTTTCCGCGTTCCTCTGGTTTTACACTTCTTACAAATATGCGGTTTCTCAGGGTGATTTCTTATGGAGAGACAAAAATTTAGAACAAAGCTCAGGAGTTCAGTTATCCATCGCAACAGGTAGGACAGCGCTCAGAGTTGGCGATCGTACATGCGATTGGGGGAGAAGGCGATAAGAAGATAGGTATCGATTTGTTTGCTCCTCTCACCGAGCAATCGCCCGATCGCCTACTCGCATAACCATCGTGTCGATACGCACTCCTTTCTTAATAGAGTCTCATCCATCGACTATGTAGGCATGTGATCGGTTCATATCTCAAAAAGGAATCCAATTTTTTGCAAAGGGGGAAGGAAACTCTAAAGTGGGTGAAAAAGTGCATTAGATATATTTCTTTTTTTGTTAGTTAACAACTGCAGTGTCCATATTCCTCGTCCTGCAAAAAATATTTCTATAATATCTTCGGCAACTGTCGCACTGCTTTTGCACATTTGCTTCGTCCCCGCGTTCCGGCTTTAATGTAACCACTTTTGTTCTCTAGGAGCTATGAAACATACTCTCTAATGAATAGATCACCTTTCCTTCTATGAACTTTCTTGGAGCGTTTTATTCTACGATTTCGCCGAAAAACATCGCACCAGTTGCATGACTCGGTCATATTTGTAAATAATGTTTCGTTTCCGGGAATTTCCTCACCTCTGGCATTCTTCACATTGTGGAGATGCTTAGGAGTACTCCATTGGTGGTGATTCGTCGACTGTGTTCCAATTCCGGGAAAGATAATCTCAAGTGAGTATCAAGGGTGGGCCGATAAGACACTATTTTGAAATTAACTCTTCCAGCTTCCTGTAAGATGATCGCTTTCAGAAAAATCGTGGTCTGCCGCAACGGCAGCGTCGCTGCTTGGCATCCAGAAACTTCATTTCCGTACGAGCATTCGAGGCCTTTTGTGTTAGAAGAAGCCAACAAGGACGACGTGAGTATATATTTTTTGTCAGTCCCCCATATGTTTGTAGTTAACAACTCCAGGGTCATATTGCCTTCTTACTCTGCGCTAAACGCGCGTTTCGCGGTGGCCACATGCTCCGCACCACATTTACAACCCTATTATTGTTTATCGATTACTGCATCATCGCTGTCAATTTTGAAATCGAGCATGCTGTTCAACTGAGAACGAATAGGAACCGAGAGATTGCATTGCGAAGTCCAATCCCTGCGCAAACCATTCGACAATTTCGCGCATCCTTCTTCACCCTAGCTTTACTTTGCCGGGAGTTGCGGATTGGTCCAAGTCATTACAGCTGGTTCATGTCGAAAATGTGAAGGCAATGAACAAGCAAAAAGCAAAAAAATGGCCTGTGTTGGTAACGTCGCCGCAACGCACGGTCACGAAGAGTACCGGCTTGATGCCTTCGTTTCCTCGTATCGTCTTTTACGACTTCATCTCGTATCATCCGCGTGTCTACTCGTTGCTAGTGGCGTTTGTCGTTTCTCGCCCTGCTCAAGAGGTTTCAATATAGCCGATGTCAGACTTTGCCAAATCGCGCGATTCGCTACGTCTGCGGTCGCGTCGCGGTCCAGTGAATCACTCAATTGGCTGGTACCGCAACGCGACCGCGGACGCTAGCGAATCGCGCGATTCGCAAAGTATGACGTCGGCCTAAGTTGGCTACTACTTCAATAAGAAAACCGCCATCACGTCCCGTTCTTTGGACTGAATACGCATCATAATTTCTTTGTATTTCTTTCTGAAGGAGTGGAGCCTTTCTGAAAATCAAAGGGAACAGTTAGCGCCGACCAGCTCATTTGTAATCCCTTAGTGAAGTTTCCTATTCCGAGGACTTGGCTAGAGGGTGGTAACTGTTTGACCGTTTTTCATTCAAAAAAGTTCCATTTGAATGTATTGCTCTGGTGCCCATTGCGGAGGGCACCTTTGCCGCGGTATACTCCTTCGTTTTTTCTTAGTATCCAGCGAGTTAGTGTGATTTGGTGCGGGAAAATATAAAATTCGTTGAAGCGTCGCTTTTGCCATCTTTGAAATTGAAATCGATGAAAAAACAGGGTATAAGGCGAAGACGAATTTGTGGTTTCTCTGGAACGGACATGAGTTCTGTCATTTGTACGTTTTTAGTCACCTCTGTCAAGTGCAGTGAATCGCGCAAGTAGGTGGAAGGACGGTCCTGTAAACGCTCAGCTCAAGGACATTTTCTACACAACGAAGCACGAGTGGTACCCCAGGTAATTTTTCATAAATTCTAGGTTTACATATTGCTGAAGGTTTGGTGTGGTAAGAGAAATATTTGCTACTGTCCCATTTTTGCTTTTATAGTTGAGCGTTCGAAAACCATAAAAGACCAGCAGTCCTTGTAATTTATGTTTTTGGATCTTGGAATGTTCCCTCATAAGATCTATTTGATTGTAGGAGCAGGAATTTTTGAGACATAGTTATTACACGTCTTCAAGTGGTCAAATAATTATTTCTTTCTTTCAAGGCCGAGGGAAGAACGTTTGCGAAGTGTCTCGGCTCCAATACCACGGCGAAAGTAGTTGTTATTTCGACGGTTTCAACAAGTTATGCGCCTCTCTTTATTCCTTAATCGTTCTTTCAAACTTGTAAATCTTGGTAAATTGTCATACGCGAAGGGACTGGAAGAGCAACAGAAATTTCTCGTCTTAGTTAAGAACGCAAAGGAGAAGGACGAAACTTTGTAAGTAATTGTTCTTTTTCGGCTTCCTACTGTATAATATACATGCTAAGTTTGACTTTCAGAAATTACATATTGGCGGTGGAGCACTCACCTGTTTACACTGTAGGTATCCGATCAAAACTTTATTCACAAGAAGAAGAGACCCGCTTGAAAGCACTCGGTGCGGATTTCTTCAGGTGCGTTTTTTTTTTGAGAATCAGAAGTGCTGCAACTTTCCTTCATGCGAAACTACCTCTAATGCAAAAAGAGGCAAGGTTCCAGAACGTCAAGAGGAGGTCTCATAACATTTCATGGCCCTGGTCAACTAGTCATGTATCCCATATTCGACTTGAAACGCATTGCTCCACGGCCTATTGGTGTTCGGCGATATGTAGAGTTGCTGGAGCAGGTACCGCTAGTTCTTTTCAAAAGTGTTTGACTTTTGAGAATACTGCTTAATCGTCTAAATCAGGGTGAATAACGGTCGAGGAAATCCTCGACCATAGCTCTCTACCATGCGAGAGTAGTGCCGAGAGTGAACATCCGCGCGGAGAGCACAGACGGCACGGCATGGCGAGTGTGAATGTCCGCGCGAGAGATCGTCTCTGATCGGGCAGAGAATCCTCGACGTGCCGTTGAGGAATCCTCAAGCGATATTCACCCTGGTCTAAATCTTTATATGTTGCAAAATTACTTCATACGCATTATGTTTTCGTGATTTTCTTGACCTTAGGTAATCATAAACTGTGCAACCGAAGACTTCCATATCTCAAATGTGGGCCGGACACAACACACAGGTAAGTTCGTTAAAGCAACAGTCCCAGCAGGATTTTTACCTTCGGACACTAATGGTGTGAAACAGAGCCCCCAGTCAAGAAACATAAAAAACGTACTAAACAAAAAACTCACCTTGGAAAGCCGCTAGAAGGGAGCTGAACGGCTCGAAGTGGGCGTGGTTGAATCGGCCGTTGTGCAGTCCCCTTCGGCCAATTCAACCACGCCCACTTCGAAGCCGTTCAGCTCCCTTTCTAGCGGCTTTCAAAGATTTTTTTTGTTCAGTCACACATTTTGTGGTCTTGACTAGGGCTAGCACATTGTTTCACGCCATTAGTGTCGGAAGGTAAAAACCTTGCTGGGACTTTTGCTGTAAGTATTAATTCACACTACTCGACTGAGTTGAATGACCAGTTCTGAATAGGCCTTCTATAATGGGAAAACAATTGAGGTGAAGTTTTATTCTTCCAATTCTAGTATAATCGCTGTTTCAGGAGTATGGGTTGGCGAAAACCGGAAACTCGCTGCTCTTGGGATAGCTGTCTCGCATGGTGTATCATATCATGGTCTTGCATTGAACTGTAACACTGATTTGAGTTGGTATGATCACGTAAGTTTATTGAAAATATATGTTGATGAGTTTTTCATTCTGTTAATGAACCGCGGTTTTCGCGAAGTTTGTATGCTCTTCGCTGCATGACCAATTCTTGATTGTATCAGCAGTTTTGAGGTCCAGAATTTTTTTTTAAAGAGGCAGAATAGGAGACATTAACACACCACTAGAATCTCTGATTCTTCTAGAAAATCCCATTTAGGTTGTTGGGTGTGGCATTGAAGGAGCCGAAGCAACGTCGTTGAGCCGAGAATGCCATCGTGACGTTTTCCATTGAAGAAGCAATGCCAAAGAGGGGTGAAAGCCCCAGGTTGTCAAGTGTTCAACGTGATGGAAGCTCGTGAGCGGGTTCTTCTTCTTCCTATGTTGAGACTTTCCAGATGGTCAAATATTCATGTTCCTTGTTGCTCAGAGCCCTTTAATATGAAGTTGCATTTTTCTGTGTCAGTGTTAGTATTTGTTAGGTGTAATAGAATTATTATCTATTGATTATAAACCTCAGCGAGAATGTACGGTTGACTTGCTGTGCCTGAGATATCTATCTCTTTTTGCCTTTGTCAATGCCTGAAATAGCTATCTCTTGCCTTTATCTAAAGGCGACTGAAGTTTTTGACGCAGGGGTGCCCAATCAGAGTTTGAGCGTTGCTCTGTCGGCTTTGTGATCAGACGTTATATCTACCAATTCTAATGAGTGAGATTCTGAATTCCAAGCGATTTCTTCTAGCAATGTATTATCCATGGCCGAAGTGTCAGTCGAGTTGTTGTTATGTGCAAAGTCCGCAACATTGCTTTCATTTTGCGTCTGGACTACTCTTGAAAGCAAGAGTTTGGTTTTTGAGTATCACTTTTACTAAACTGGACCGAAATTAATCGGGAGAACAGAGATGGGCTTCAGGTTAACTGGATTTCCAGCTGTTTATGCGGATTAGTGCTATTCATTTTAGTTTTTCGATTGTTTCCGGAGCTCATTGCGCTGTGGGAAGTCGCGCATTCGTCGCCACACTTGGTTTTTTATCACTGCATTTGTTCCAGTCAAGGGGCTTACAAGCCTTACGAAAAATTATGCAGCAGAAAGGTTTGCGGTGGACTCACCCACTCACCGGGAAAAGGCATTCAGCTTCCCATGGAACTTTGAATCGAGACCCATATATTTCGATAGAGCTTCGAACATTGACTACAAATATGAAAACCAAAACTGCAAAATGAACTCTCCAAGTAAGTTGTGAGCAGTTAAAGTTGGCTGGAAATAAAGCGTTTCATATGAATCGTGGTACCGTCCAGGCATTCAAAGTCGCCATGAGTAGTGATAGTGCTCTCGAAAGTTGTACTCCAACAGAAACAAAATACACGACCTCCCAGCTGGAGAGCGAGAGCATCCAGCTCTCCCAGCCTCTGCTGCTTCAGCTAATACTGCTGCTCTTCGCTCCTTGAGATCTTCCTTTATCGCCTCTCTGCATAGCTTCGCAAGCTCGGACGTGAGTTGGTGATTGCCTGCAGCTCGTGCGGCTCCACGTTGGCGTATCAGCTCGAGAGTTTCCGTAGACAGACGTCCTTTGGGACTTGTAAACAAACTCTGCCTTCCTGCCACTCTCGTGAAGGTATTCATAGAGCCGATGATATTCCTCGTCGATGTTCTCGATAACGAAATCCTCCCATGAGTTGACAAGAGAAGTATGACTGTCCTGGGGCTTCGCTTCCTGAACTTGAGGCTCTCTCAACACGCATCGAAAAGTGGAACTTTGCGCGGAGGAGACGATGGTCCGATCCCGTGTAGAACTTCGGAACAACAGCGACGTCGGTCAGGCAAAACCTTCGATTGAAGATGATGTGGTCTATCTCGTTATGGAACTGTCCATCAGGTGACTCCCAAGTCCAACGAAGGTGAGAGGGCTTCTGGAACTGTGAGTTACCATGGATGGTAGTTA